GAGTGTGAGTGAGTGTGTGAGTGAGTGTGAGAGTGTGTGTGAGTGTGTGTGTGTGTGTGAGTGTGTGAGTGAGTGTGAGTGTGTGAGTGAGTGTGTGTGTGTATGTGTGTGTGGGCAGTGGATGCTGAAAAGAACCATTGAAGGTTTTGAATGTTTTGTGAATATTCATGAGGTCATAAGTGATGTGTGTGTGAGGGGGTGGAGACTCATTTGCATATGATTAGCGGTTGTCAGGGAGGTGTGGAGATGACACACTGTACCGAGGGCAGGAGAGAGTGTGTGACCTTTAGAGCTGCGGTAACACACATACACACACACACACACACACACACACACTCACAGAATCACAAGTGTTCCACCCACCTCTCGCTCTCGTCCCAGGCGATGCAGGTCTCGTTCACAGTGCCCTGCAGAGAGAGAGAGAGAGAGATGGGCGTGAGAGGTCTGGTTAGGGGGAGTTTGATCTGTGTCATATGTCACTTCCTCCATAGTCTTTAACTGCACACGCACACACACACACACACGTTCAGAACAGAACAGAACGAGCGATGAACCAGCATCTGGTTTCCATGGCGACTCACATTGTGCAGGTGTGGGAAGTTGATCTCAACAGGTGCCGACAGGAAGCCAGGGTTGGGCTTCACCGTTACCGTGACGACCTTCGAGTTGAGCAGTGTGCTGTTGCTGCGGGAGAAGGAGACGATTGATCGATCAGAATCACTCTCAGGTATTGATCAGGTGCACATCAGTCAAGAGTTCAGACACATTTCAAACTCATCACTGATCTTTGCTTTGATTTTCCTCCACTATCTGCTCTGACGTCACATGTTTTAATAAAAACAATAGAAGTGCATGCGTAAAATAAATAATGAATTAAATCAAACAAAATAAACAGAATAAATAAATAGAATACATTTTATTTGATAAATAAAACAGAATTTAATAAAATATAGTAAATTGAATAAAACTATATTTATTAAGATTAGTGAATGTTCTAATCTGCATTTGATCTCTTTGTAATGGACTGATTATTTGTGACCCTGGAGCACAAAACCAGTCATTTTTAATTAGCTGAATAAATAATCTTTCCATTGATGTATGGTTTGTTAGGATAGCACAATATTTGAAAATCTGGAATCTGAGGGTGCAAAAAAATCTAAATATTGAGAAAATCATCTTTAAAGTTGTTCAAATGAAGTTCTTAGCAATGCATATTACTAATCACACATTAAGTTTTGATATATTTACGGTAGGACATTTACTAAATATCTTCATGGAACATGATCTTTACTTAATATCCTAATGATTTTTGGCATGAAAGAGAAATGTATAATTGTGACCCATACAATGTATTGTTGGCTATTGCTACAAATATCCCCCAGCGACTTAACACTGCTTTTGTGCTGCAGGGTCACAAGTTTCATCAGGACATTCATATGAAGTTTGTCAGCAGAATGCAAGCAATGTTTGAGCTCTTGTACCTCTGGAAGGACAGGATGGGAGCCAGATTTCTGTAGAGAACGATCCCGGTGACAAACCCAGTGCTCTGCTCAGCATCTACACACACATTCAGAGCCGCATTAGTCTCAATACTCAGGAAACACACGTCAGAATGTGTGTGTGTGTAAGTGTCTGTGTGTGAGTGTCTGTGTGTGAGTGTCTGTGTGTGTGTGTGAGTGAGTGTCTGTGTGTGTGTGTGTGTGTGTGTGTGTGTGTGTGTGTGTGTGTACCTGGCATCTATAGACACAGAGCGCCGC